TCAGTGAGTAGAGAGCTGACCCCGTATACCAAGGGTGGTGGGTTCAAACCTGGCCCCACCCAAACTGCAACAACAAAAAAATAGCTGGGCATTGTAGTGGGCTCCTGTAGTTCCAGCTCCTCAGGAGGCTGAGGCAAGAGAATCACCTAAGCCCAAGAGCTGGAGGTTGCTGTGAGCTGTGATGCTATGGCACTCTATCAAGGGTGACAAAGTGAGACTTTGTCTCTTTAAAAAAAAAAAAAAAAGAAGAAAAGAAAAGAAAACAAACTTCAAGGAATACATTGTTGTTATTAAAAATATGTTTTTGACCCAGTTTGGTGGCTCACGCCTGTAATCCCAGCATTTTGGGAGGCTGGGATTGTTTAAGGCCAGGAGTTCAAGACCAGCCTTAACAACAGAGCAAGATTCCATTTCTACAAAAATGAAAAAAAAAAAAAATTAGCTGGGCATGGTGGCATGTGCCTATGGTCCCAGCTACTCGGGAGGCTGAAGCAGGAAGACTGCTTGAGCCCAGGAGTTGGAGAATACAGTGAGCTGTGATATCACAGACTATATTCCAGGTTGGGCAACAGAGTGAGACCCTGCTTCTAATACAACAACAATAAAAAAAAAACCCAAATGTTTTTGGACAGAAGGAATTTAATAATATAATCTTGAGTTCAAACAGTGCTGTGTTACATAGAGGCAGTGTCCTGGCAGGAGGCTTGCACTTCTAATAAGGACCCTCGCCTGAAGCACTGGGTGCACCCCATCTGGGAAGTCACACGAGGAGGTACTAACCCAGCACCTCCTCTGCCTCCCCCAGCCTCTCAGCAACGCTCAAGAACTCCTCTGCCAAACCCTACTGCATGTGGCTTATAGGCATCATGCTGTCCTGCTTCCATATGTGCTGAGAGGCTGAAGATGGTAGAGCTATTTCTCCGGAACATTTCACATCCACTAATAAATGTGTGGTAAACTAAAACTGTAATATCTATATAAAACTGAAATTAAGCTAAATGTCTACTATTTTTTTTACATTGTAGAAATGTTCATTTTAAAAATATAAAAATGGAATGGGAAAGCCATTGGTTTCTACCAGCCCAGTATTTTTATTTTAAACAAGTTATATAACCTTTAAAAACATATGACAGCTAAATAAAATAAAGATTATGTAAATGTTTTAAGAGACCAGGTCTTGGCTGGGCACCTATAATCCCAGCTACTTGGGAGGTGGAGGCAGGAGACTCGCTTGAGCCCAGGAGTTGGAGGGTGGTGTGAGCTGTGACGCTAGGGCACTCTACCTAGGGCGACAGGCTGAGGCGCTGTCTCAAAAATAAAAGAGACCAGGTCTCACTATATATTGCCTAAGGTGGGCTTATGCAATCCTTCCAAGTAGCTGGAACTGAATGTGTGCCACCACACCCAGCTCCACAGGGTATGAGTATTCTAAAGTGAGAGACAAATGTTCCCTTTCTCCACACCAAGCATCCTCAAACTACAGCCCATGGGCCACAAGCGGCCTGCTGAGGACATTTATCCAGCCCGCCAGGTGTTTTTTGCCACCGCTGCCTGTCCTGCTTAGCAGCTGACTCATCCCAGGGCCCGCAGTCCGGCCCTCCAACGGTCTGAGGGACAGTGAACTGGCCCCCTGTTTAAAAAGTTTGAGGACCCTTGCTCCACTCACAAATTTTCTTGTAAGGAAACCATACATATTCTGTTCTTTTCCAGCTAACATCATAACAAATGATTACTCACGTTATTAAATAAAGCTCTTACAGGGAAAAAAATAATAACTTTCCATCCAGTAGCATGGATGTTCCCAGTTAAACCCCAGTTCTGTGGTTTTCAAGGCAAATTAACTAATTTGCAATGCCAACCTGGGGTCACAGGAGATACCCATCTTCCCAGGGATATAACTGCCCATTATTGGGGTTATCTATCACTGGAGACTTTGGATACTACCAACTTTACTATAAATTACAACAAAGTTCTCACTAAGCATAAAATTATGTATAGTTGGGCTTTTTTTCCTACTTAAAACAACTACTAGGCCCTAAGGCATAAGTATTCTTTTTTTTCCTTTTTGCAGTTTTTGGTCAGGGCTGGGTTTGAACCTGCCATGTCTGGCATAAGGGGCTAGAGCCCTACTCCTTTGAGCCCCAGGCGCCGCCCCAGGCATAAGTATTTTTCATATAATGCCAAATTGCTTTCCAGAAGGATTGTATTTTATTCCCACCTGAACAGTATACTGATGTTCATCCCAACCAGGTCACACTGTATCATTACATGCCTTTCTTTCATCCAGCTAAACACTACACTGTTTTAATGAATGTTTCTTTGAAGTTTACCTAACCACTGGAATTTCCTACTTTTTCAAGTTCATTGCCCATTTATCCATGGTGTTTCAAATTTGTCTTTAAGTTGTGTATGTGTGTGTGTATGTACCAGCAATAATAACCGCCTACTATGTTTGCAGTAATCTTTTGTTTTTTTAGAGACAGAGTCTCACTTTGTTGTCTTTGGTAGAGTGCCATAGCATCACAGCTCACAGCAACCACCAGCTCTTAGGCTTAGGTGATTCTCTTGCCTCAGCCTCCCAAGTAGGTGGGACCACAGGTGCCAGCCACAACACCCAGCTATTTTTTTGTTGCCGTTTGACAGGGGTCAGGTTCGAACCTGCCACCGTTGGTATATGGGGCTAGCGACCTACTCACTGAGCCACAGGCACTGCCCATATTTGCAGTAAACTTAACTGGTTGTACAATTAGGATTACAGAATTGTACAGATTTTTTTAAACCAAGTACCATATGCGTAAATTTCTTTCTTTCTTTTTTTTTTTTTGAGACAGAGCCTCAAGCTGTCCCCTTGGGTAGAGTGCCATGGCATCACAGCTCACAGCAACCTCCAACTCCTGGGCTCAAGCGATTCTCCTGCTTCCGCCTCCCAAGTTGCTGGGACCACAGG